CCCCCCAGATTTAATCTAAAAGTAATTGGCATATACTTTATCTGCCTTTTGACAAAAACCCCTCCACTTCATTATCAATTTCATAATTTCTATCATATCCTAAAATATGCTCAAAATGATCTTATTTCCCTTTCATTATTGTCAGCACATACATTTCCACTGTCAGCACATCACTGTGATTTTATCTAATCGCTTTCTGTGACTTCTTTCTTCTAACTGAATTGTCCTTTTTGGTTGGTAAAAAACACTATATAGCATAAATGAATGAATTGGAGAAATGGAATGACAAAAATGTAGTAAAATCTAATAGAATGAAGCGCAATATCTAGTGTGTAGGGACTAAATTAGACATATAAGCTGGTGTTCAGTAATTGGAAATGACAGAAGAAAAGAAATATCTAGTTCTATTAGTATGTCCCTAGATTATTAGATGTCAATTTGATGCAGCCATGGAAAAGACAATTCTGATCCTAAAACATTTTAAGTATTTTCATTATATAGAGCTGTAAGAAGAGCTGATCTGTATCCAATTCTGATTGCTAGGGTTAAAGAATGATGCATGTGATCTGAATAGGTGAAGACCAAACACGATTATTATACAAAAGGGAATAAAAGTTACTTGATTAATTAGCATAGTAAACTGAAGGTCAAAGTGTGTTTCCTTCAGGAGCTTCCTGTTTTCTGTATCTTGTACACTGTGGTTTTTAAAAATCAATCCTTCTTTTAATTTCTAATATACTCACAATCCAATCTGCTTTTATTTCTAGCATTAAAACAACAAATTTACCTGCTAACTTTTCACTTGCTACCTATAAAACTATCAGCCCACTTTTGGGGACAGACAGGAGTACTTTCTGACCTTGACTTTCCAGATCACTAGTAAAATACTATGGAGTTATATTTGTTTCTCTTCCAGATTTGTAATTTTTGACAACAAAGAATTATTGCTGATAAATTACATACATTTAACATTTGTTGCTTTACTTTTTTGCTACTGCTAGGGTCACAAACCTGTGTGGATTCATACAGATTCAGACTCCAAATCCTTTCAGTTTGTTTTCACTGCTTCTGGAAGGCTTCAAGACCTTCTCTGTTGCCCTCTGTTCTGTGTCTCATTAAGAATTGGGCATTTCTTTCTGATTCAGTGCCACCTTTAATTGAGTCACCAATGCTAATGTAATAGATTTTACTAAAAGCCTCTCAGCCTTAATTTAGCTGCAACACTGAAAAGACTAACACCTTTTATTATCAGTGCTTGCTAATATTTGTGTATATTCAGTGGTGTAGTTTTTATTATTTCATTATTATATTATTCATTTCTGTAGTGTATTTTTCATTAAGTATTTCTGGTATTAGTTGCTACTGCTTGGTAATATTTTTTATGCAAAATATATTTTTTAAAAGTATTGCTACTGGAAAATATTCTTCAGCTATTTAAGAGCATTACCTTGACTGGATCCCACTGACCAAAAGAACTTAGAAATTTATATGAGAAAACTAGCATCTTCTGTGCAAGTGGCAAACTTATTGGGTAACATTTCTCAAAAATGCTTCCACGATCTTCCATTAGGGAATTCAACTTGCTATGTATTTGGTAGTGTACGATGTGAGGCTTCTGTCCTCCATTGATCTCGATTAGCGGTATTAACAATTTTTCAAATTCTTCCTGGTTAATGAAAACATAATGAAATATTAGAATCATAAACATGATCAGATTTTTAGTAATAACTGACAGCAAGATCTTCTGTGAACTATCGAGGATTTCTTGAACATATTCTCAGTCACTGTAAATCAACAAAATTTTATTTGAGATGAGAACTGGTCTTCCTGTCCACTGAAATTTAAATTACCCAGCCTGTATTAAATATCACACTATTAAAAAACAAACAAAAAAAATCTGACAGTTAAGTTTGAGGAATCTACTCTGATAAAGCTAAAGCTTGAGAACCATCTTTTATTTAAAAAATAATCAAACAATGCTCTCTCCAGACTTTAGGATGGCTTATTTAGTTACTCTCTAAAAATATTGCTGTTTTCTGATGACATATTATTCCCCATCTTATTGAACTAAAATATAAATCAAATCCACTTTCCACACAGTTTTTTATAACAAACTAATACTTTTACAAGTGCTAATGTCTTTTAAAGCCATCATTTAGTTTTCCATACAAGACCAAGATTCCACAATGTCAAAGAGGACCAACAATTAAAGAATCAGAGAACAGTAAAGAAGAGTCTTGAATAATGAATCAGAAATAGTAAGTTATTTAAAGTTATTTATAAAGGCATAAATGTTCTTGGAATGAAAAAAATACAGGAAAAATATTGTGTAATCTGTAACTAGAGGATATTAGTAGTATCTAGTTCCAGTAGGTAATTCAATTATATATGCGATATTACTTCTCTGTAACTCAATTTATGTATAATATCTATATAGATCCACAGTCCTGTATCTTCCCACTTACTGTCATAAGCAGAACTCAATATTATAATGAATTCTAAAACATTAGTCACTTCTCTTGCCACTGAGATTTAGGTACTTCTCGAGAGAAACAAAAATTGCTGACTCTCTTCATTGTCCGTTCCTTTACTGATCAATTTTTTAATCAGTTTACTAGTGCAAGAAACGATATGGTCCCAAATGACAGAGAGGAAAATGCTCCAAAACCTCTAGTATTCCACTAGCTTTAACTTGAAAGATTGTCTTGTTCACATAAAGAGCTAAGGCTGTTACCCAGATTTCTTGTTTAATGTGTCTCATGGGCCTTATCCTAAGTTCTTTGCAATTCTATTTTGCAAATTCAGTTTACACTCAGAAAACTGAAATTAACCACAAGCTTCATTCAGTACCCCTAAAATTATTTCTGTGATTATAATTGGAATCCATTATTATATGCATTGAATAGTTCAATAAAATTATGACATTTTATGGTCATTTTTGGAAGTTGAATGTACTTTCAAGTCACCTTCTTCCAAAATTAATGGAAATTTGTATCTCTGAGCACAAAACATTAATCTTTTCCACATAGGTTTTGCTTCCCTATAGCGCAAAGAATGTTAGAAGCCTATTCTTGATTAATCTGATGTTTAATCCATTAACTATTAAAATAATGTGAACCTTGAATCAGTCTCACTTAGGGTGTTGGTAAAGTTGGATTAATTCTGCAAATCTTATATCTCTGTGTTTTCTATCTACTTCTGTAAACTTTCTCTTTGGACAGTGAGTAGTGTTTCTTCTAAATCATGTTTAATTCCCTCCTGAAGTAAGATACTTAGTACATAGTAAAGAAATGGCATTAAGCTACTTACTGCCTTAGGCATGGGCATTAATGTTGCAGATACCTGAAGTTAGATAAGGTTACCTCACCATAGGCAATTACACTGATTTCAAGAAAACTACATTACTAAGAACTGTATTAAAAAATCAGGGTTGTCTAATAAGAATTTTGCCTTTAAAATTATTTTGAAATACTGTTCATATATTTATGACTTTCTGGTTTGGTTGCCTGCATCAACTGACCCATGAAAAAGGAAATAAGGACCCCAAGACTGGGTAAGTCTATCCAAAAGTTTCCTTTGTTTTTTACCCCACAGTATTAGTCTTATAAATTAGATATTTTTAAAAGTATATACCTTCTTACTACAGCCTTTCTCTTGTTCACATATTTAGATCATTAGTGTAGCAGTATGATTTTTTAAAGTACTATAACATTTATATTTGACAAATAAAACTGAAAACTCTTCTTGCATCATGTGATCATATAACTTAACAAAATATGCTGTATTTTACCTGTATTATTGTATTATTACCTTTACATCTTGTAAACTGTCCATTTCTGAATCAAACTTCTCTGCAATTTCATTTTGTATGCGGTTAACTGCATCAGTTTCCTCTTCTTCTTCAGCCTCTTCTTCTTCTTCTTCTAAAAACTCTTCTTCAAGTATAGCTTCAATATCTTCATTTTCATACTCGTCTTCCTCCTCAGGGGTTTCATGATGCTCCTTATTTGCTAAAGCCTATAAAGGAAAAATATTTTGTTGTTTCATTTCTATGATAGAGATGTTTGAAAGGATGATATGTTACTCTTGTCTCTTTTTTAAACTAGAAAAAGCATTAATTAAACAAAACTTCATTTTGGGGCATCTTCTATCACAAGCAGAAATCTAGTAAATTCTGGAATGATATTTCAGAAGAAAATGCAGAGGTATTGCGTAGTGCATACAGTGAAGCATTGTACCAGTTCCAAGAGTGCTTAAGAACCTGAAGTGCTACACTGCAGGTTTGATAAGAGAAGTGGTTTTTCCTACATGGTGTTGCAGTTTGGCAGGACTTTGTTATAAACAAGCATGTCAGGTGAAAGTGTAGTTGATAGAATTTCATGAGCAGTCAAGTAGTACATTAGTGCATTTATGCTTACATACTTTGTAATTGAGTTTGGGCAGAAATCATGGTACAATCCTATTCTGGATTAACCACAGATTTGACAGGGTACTTAAAACACATCCCTAATTGCAATTAATGGGGCTGCTCTTATGCTTACAAATTAGATACATTAAACACATTCATAAGTATTATGCCGAATTGGAGCACATATTGCGAATTCTTTTAAAATTGCTTTTAGTGTTTATGAGCCAACAGTTTCTAAAACAATTTAATCATGTCAGATTGTTTTTGAAAGTAGAAGTTTCTGACAGTCTATCACATTTTTGCTATTCTACATTGCCCTGAAAACTCTAAAAGCTCTATAAATTTCTAAGATACGAATACAAACATGCTATTTAAAATCTTTCTTATTAGCTTGTTTTCTTACCTCCTGATTCCTTTGGTTTTTTTCTGCTAGAAGTTCCACCCTTCTTCTAGCAATCTTCTCATCCTGATAGTGAAAAAAAGACGTAAGAAGACAGTGATATTTGTTAATAAAAGCTCTCCTCTGAGAATAGGTAATGTGACCTAGAATTAATGTTCTTTCCACCTTACAACTTTGTTTCCAATTGCTTCTAATGTAAAAAAATGCTATCTGTGCAGTGTGAAGTGTTGCAGACCAGATATGCCTCTCTGCTAGGTGGACATGTAAGCAAATTTTAGTAAAACTAATTTGACAACTTCTGAGATTGAGATTAGGGAGCAGGGGGAGACTGTGATTCTGATCATACTAAAAATACTATAATACTGTTGTTCCTAAACTACATAGTTTCTGAACTTATAAGTAGTTTCTGCCATTTGGCAAAGGGGTCCCTGGGCATAGTATTGTGTGTGCTATTCCCTATGTGTGTTTAGATCTGCCCAATTTTGACCAAGTTATAAGCATCTGAAAGTATGAAAGTCCTGCTTTCATACTCAGTAGGCACACGTCAAATACTTGATGGCTAAATCCTAACTCAGAAGTAATGTGCAGAAGCATTCTACTTAAGGCCAGTGGGGTTGATGGGGATTCAACCTGTATTTGCTGTGCTTGCACACTGTAATGCTGTCACTTGAACTGAGATCAGAGACACTGAGCATGTCAACATGCAGGCAATACTGCAATTTTAGAAATCCATGTTAACTCCAAGCGAAGTGGCCTGGATACCAGAGTATTCTAAGCAGAGCAGCGAGAAACTCTGCCTAGACTTAATTTTCTCTGCTCTTGTGACTGAATTCTGGTGTTCCTGAACAACACAGCACTGCAGGTGTACTCAACTGCAGTGTCCTGTTGCCAGCTTCTTTCAGTGGAGAAGGAAAACTCTAGGGTAGCGTTCAGCTGGTCTGTCTGCTTTTCCCAGACTCTCTGGATGTCCTCCAGCTTTAGTAACAAAAGGGTTAACAGTACACTCAGCAATACTGCATTCTCACAGCACCATCCGACTTGCTCACCAACTGGATGCTATGGAAAAATAGTCTATGTGTTACTAAAAACTACACTGCGATACACATTAGCAAAAATGTCAAATTACTGTTACTCAGGAAATCCTGATTCTGATCTTTCCTTACTTCTTACTGGCTCTATCAATTTGTAGCAGTTTCACATGTATCTTCTAAATAGGAACCTGTTCTTTTCCTTTGTCATCAGAAGCCATGTTGATGCCTACACTGTTTATTAGAAAATTGGACCCTAGGATCTGTAGCACATGTACTTGCCACTTGAATTATCAGAGTGACTGCTTACAGGGTGAGCTTATTACAGCAATGTAGGCTGGTCACTAGAATGCACCTTTTCCAGCAAGATCTCCAACATGCATTAGGAAGGACTGTGTCAAAAAAGTATTTTAACTTTCCCAGATTATATGCATTATCAGAGCCAACCTCTGGCACATGCAGTTCAGAAAACTTACTGGTACTGTATGAGCCTTGTCCCAAATTGCATTGTCCTAACTTCCTGTGTGTCAGCTGCTCTGTAGTAACTTATGCTCAGACCTTTTCTGATAGTACATTTGAAGTACTTTATCTCACAATTACAGAGAGATAGGAACCTTGAGTATATTGCATGTGCTGATTGTGAAGTCAGCCTATGGGAGATGCAGATCAACACAACAGCACATGCTCAGGGAATCCAGGATGCAGCAGCAGTATGGTGCGTGAACTGTGTATTTGGTTTTTTGTGGCCATATTCACTCATTCCATCTAGTTGCCTTTTGTTCAGGACTTTCTGGATCTCTGGCATTGTGTCCGACTGCCAGTTGTCTGGCAGAACAGCTGCTTTTCTTAGGCTGTGACATAGCTAAGCTCCTGCAATAATTAATTCACA